CGGTATTAATCAACCTGTTTAAACAAATAAATGAACAACAATAACAACAACCTCTTCAGTTGTATGCGATGCATCGTTAAAAAAATTTCAAATCCCAGATGACTTCATATAATATTGCACGAGGAATAACCCGGTATCTAGTTATATAACAACGACGTTAAAGTAAAAGTGATAAAACAATAACAGCGCTAAAGTAAAACTGACAGAACAATAACAGTCAAAAATAACAACAGACTAGAATTCGGTTTCACTGTGCAATAGTCATATGATAAAATGTTTGTAGCCTCATTTCACGATTGTGTGACAACAGCCCTAGTGAACCCTTATGAGATAAGCTACCACCTAGCTGTAGTTCTTTGCTCTGTTTGTCGTACTGACCTATGCCAGTTTCGATACGTCTGTATGCCCGCGTTTTAAAAACAGTTTATAAGAATGTTTCTGTTATTATAATTATTATGTTATTGATATTTTTTTTATTACCTTATGCGTAGACGAATGTCAGGAACCCCTTGGAATAGAAGACCCGGACATAATTGAAGAAGAACAGCTAACTGCCTCTTCCGCCTGGGAAGGTGATCAAGACAAGTTAGGTGCCCACAGGGGAAGGCTCAATTTGAATCGCTGGCCTCAAGGTTGGACGGCTAGCGTAGAAGATCATTACCCTTGGTTTCAAGTTAACTTGAAGCACCCTTTTATAATAACGCGCGTGGCAACACAAGGCTATGGAGGACCCCTTGATCAGTGGGTGGAGAAGTACCGAATGTCATGGAAGAATGAAGAAGAAGTTTGGCGTAATTATTCCGTTCCTCGTCATGTGAAGACTTCAGCCGTCCTCTGGAAGACCAAGGTGATAATTATATGTTCAGCCGTACATTGTGTTCTAAAAAGAGATTAAGCTCGTCTTTATCATTGTTAATTCCTATAATTTATAGATTCATCTTTGTTATAATCAATTGAATCATTTTTTTCATGTAGAAGTTTAATGCTTCCGTGTGTTCTCTTTTTACCTTTTTATGTTAACCGACCGTAAAGACAAAACTGTTACTGATTCCATTTTCTGACCAAAATTTGAAAAGTCTTTAGTACTCCTAAAACAAATAGAGAATTTTCTCGCGTTTACAGTCTCTAAACAGTGTCATAACTGCACTCTATTCTTTAGACGATTGAAGGTGGTAAACAAATGACGCTTAAAACATGAAAATCGTTTTGCCGTCTTGAAACGAATTTATATTATTTATTCATCAGGTATTTCATGGAAATAAAGACAGGAATTCAGTGGTATCCCAAACTCTGTGGAACACCATTAAGTCAAGCACGCTCCGATTTTGGCCAATGGTTAAACGTAACTTTGTTTCTATGCGAACAGAATTGTATGGGTGTATGACAGGTAAGTATTTCTAGTCTAAAGCGTCGAGCGTCTGGTCTTATTAAGCATAAGGTTTAAGATTATGTCTTCTAGAAAATAAGTCTAAAAATGTCTGTCCTTTTTTGGTATTTTTAGCACTATACATGTAGCTGTGAGATTCGTTTTGCTGTAGTCATTAATCTCGTATCTCACGTTATTGCCTTTCATGCACGGTACAGACCCATCGCGATCCGCAACTGAGTGCTCAACAGATGGCCATCGTTTGAGTGGTGAATCAAATCCACCCAGCAAAAGAGATTGCCGGTGGCTTGTCACCCCTACAAAGCCGGAGAGCACAGTGACGCTGAAGTTCACAACTTTTGATTTCTTAAAAAGCGATCCTTCATGTACAAAAGACTTCGTTGAAATCAGAAACGGCCTTACTAAACACGCTCCTCTGATAGGAAGATATTGTGGACACAAAATACCTGCTCCGGTGCAATCCTCGGGAAACGGTCTTTGGGTCCGTTATGTGGTGTCGGGTGATATAAAAACCAAGGTTCGCATGACTTATCACGATGGCCCTTCTTCTCAGGGTGATAAAGCGAAGAAAGGTATACTTACAACAGCGAATTCTCATGTTTGCCTGTTACTTAAGTGGACTAGTGGTACAAAAGCCTGAAAAGTTTATTGTTCTGCTGGCGTAACTAAGTTGACATTAAAGGTCGCTTTCCTTCAAGGGAAAATCAGTGGTTGGTCACGATAAATTAACGAGAAATCACGTTTTATCATCGAAAGGAAAAAGCGAAGGAAGGATTTATTAAATGAATTCATTATTTATTTGTCGGTCACATTTTGCCTTAAATGTACTTAAACGATAAAGTTGTATGTGATAAATTTTCACAGTGTATTATGACTTGGCAACGATTTTTAATGTCCACCTTTTGCTTATTTCTTCTCTCTTTGAAAGCCCACATTACGGCTCCCAGTACAAATATCGGATTGTTTTGCGATTCACGGATTTCTTATCTCACTAGGATGCGGTAGTCTGAAATATTCACTCTTTCCGCGGCAATCTGATGGAAATTTGTCAAAGCAGTGGCCCAGCCAATGGCCCTGGCAAGTAGCTCTTTTGCTTATGGGACAATCTGTTCAGCAGTGTGGCGGCGCTCTCCTTGCTCCTCGATGGGTCCTCACCGCAGCCCATTGCTTCAAAAGGTACCGTGAATTCATTCTGAGGTGCTTGTTTTTCAACTGCAAGTGGAAAAGGTGCCTCATTTAAAGTGGAAAGTAAATAACATAAATGTATCTTGTTAGACGTTTAGGTGTGTAATATCGCTGGGTAATTTTACAGGTTATGGCGTATTTTGACAAGCCATATGGCTAAGTCAAAATAGAATTAACGAATAAAAATACTCAGCAACATTACACAACAAAACGTCCAATAACATATTTATTATCCAACTACTATATTGTACATGCATTTCTTATAGGGCGGGAAAAGCAAGGCAGAAAGGGAAGCGTAACACGTGCAGCTGACCGGTTAAATAAGTTTTTTTTCACCGTAAAAAATGACCAACTATGCAAATATCGCTTGCTTTATTTTAGTCGATACGCGCGTCATTTATACTCTACTTAGTAAAGTTGGATAATAAAATATGATAACCCCATTCGAAGCAGTCAGTCCTTCTAACCACTGTGGTGCCTCTAAAACTTTGTGAGGAGATAGTGGTCACTTTTCGTAACTTTCAGAAAGTAACGACTGTGATTACTAACATTTCTTTAAGTGAAGCTAAAAAGTTAGGCTTAACTCCTCGAAGGAAATGTACCCACATGACACTTAGTGGAACACCCTTTTCCATCGGTTTAGTGCTATATGCACTCGATGACGTAGTTACAAAACTGCTTCAAATGAAACCACAGACTTTCATTTGCAGGTTTAAACAACCATTTCAGTGGGTCGTACGGGCTGGAGAGTTTGACCTCGCGAAAAAGGAAAACTCTGAGCAAAATATACGAGCTGAAAAAATATATGTTCATTCATCATATATCTCTTCAACTAACGAGAATGATATCGCTCTCGTATACCTCGAGCGGGCAGCACAATTGAACGATATGGTGGAAACGATATGTCTTCCGGATGAAGGAGAGTTACAGCTTGAGAGCAAGTGCGCTGTCGCAGGTTGGGGTTTTACGCCGGCTAACGTCCATCATATGTCCACCCCGCTGAGGTCCCAAAGAGTGCCCGTTGTTTCTCGCCAGGTCTGTAACGGAGCCAATGCATACAGTGGTCTTGTTAAAGATGGTATGATTTGTGCAGGGTACGAAAAGGGTGGCGAAGATAACTGTTACGGAGATGGTGGAGGCCCTCTCATGTGCCAGAATTCTGTAGGAAAGTGGTTTGTTGGTGGAATTAATAGCTGGGGACAAGGCTGCGGACTGCCTGGCAAGTATAGTGTGTACACCTATACAGAAAGGTATCGAGACTGGATAAACCGTCATATGCAAGCAGAATAACTGTTCTCACTTGCGTCAGATGAAAAAAAATTGTGAATCAACTTTTGAGTCAACACTGCAAAACACCGAATTATAACAGAGTGCAATTGGCTTGCTTTTTGTGTTGGTGCCTGTCATTGCTTCTTATCCTGTTCGATTTCCAGAAGGTACCACATCCAAGTAAAGCATCGTAGTCGCTATAAAAAGGAACGTGCAAGTTGCTTTCAAAGTGTTGTAACGGACTAAAACATACGTTTTGTCGTCCAGATAGGAAATAGGCTACAGCCAGTTCATGATATATTTTTAGGTAATCGCAATTCAATTTCGAAATGTGGAACTATTTTCAAGGGCTCATCATTTCAGTTATGAGTGATGGAAGACTGATGGGACGTTGTGAAGTTAGGGAGGTTTTAATTGAACAAGCCGTTTCGAACGGAACTTGATAACACAATTCAATTACCTTTCTTACTCGTGTATAGGTCGACCCCCCCCCCCCTATTTTCAAGGTGAACTGTCGGATTTTTCACCATTCCTAGTTAAAGAAGTAAAATTCAGACCGATAGAAATCTCCCAAAAAGTTAATATCTTACTTCTAGAAGGAATTGAAAACACGGGGAATCAAAAAATCTGCAGAGCAAAATGTAACCGTGCGCGGCGAAGTTTAATAGCACTTATTTATATTACCACGATTTAAGCAAACACGAGCACTTCGATTTATTAATACATATTTTTTAAATCGTATTGAAAATGAAATCTTGCTTTTAACTGACCGTCATCTCAATTTTGAGTTTAAAGGAGGTTTAGTACTACAAAGTTACACCGAAGAGCTTCGAAGGATCACGCGTAACGAACAAGACCGCGAGACAGAAGCATTTTCCAGGTCACTAAGCTTCTGTAATCGTTCGATGAAAACGAAAGTTCTGCACCGTAAACAGCAGCGAATCTCTGTTTAAGCCACTTAAAATACATTATTTCAAACTTTTATTTTTGATGAAGAATGCGCTGAAAACTGACAAAACTCGAACACAAATAGAACTGGTCTTTTAAACTCGGTTTTCCTGATGGACTTCTGCAATCGTTATGTTAATTTCTTGGATTGCTTGAGTCAGGTCTTTGTGTATGACTCGTGTATAAGTCGAGGGTGATTTTTTGGGCTGATTTTTGGTCATAAAGGTCGACTTACACACGAGTAAAAACGGTAGTCGAATTTTTTTCTTGAGAGGTTACAAACGTAATGCAATCTTTGTGACCTTGTAGATATGAATGGTTAGTTTGAGTTTACCACTGTAAAATTCTCTATTTATCTTATTGTACTTATCTAAAACGGAGTTTCACTGTGATAAAATCACTGAAGTGTTTCCGGTCTTTTTCGAATGAGGCGCCGTCCAGCGCTTTTGGTATCCAACGCAATATAGTAGTTATTTCTCTTAGGTAATTTGTTAGGCTTGCATCCTGTTCACTTTGTGTGAAATCTGTGGTTTCCTGAATGTGAAGGTATTGTTTACTATGTACCTAAATCTTGTTTACGGGAATTCTCAACCTATTTACGCCACGGCATGGAAGCCATGAGCGATAGTTATCGGAGTTCAATTTATGATACTGCTGGATTTAGGAGTGTCATATCAGGACGTGTTTAACACGTCGTCTTAGAGATTTGCTAAACCTGTGGAACCCTTATTATCAGTAGAATCTAAACGATTTCTCAAATCATTTAAAAGGAAACTTAAATGCTTTATTTTCGTTGCGATTTTTTATTTCTTTTTATTTCTTGGAGGTACTTTTGTGAAGACTAGAAGTTCAAGTCAGCAGCTTTTCAAATGTCAGTAAATAGCATCAATGTGAAGGCGACTTAAATGAGAAATGATATTGGGAATATATGTTAGCTTTGTTCTGTGGTACCACAAAGTGAATGATTTTACCTGTTCAAAACGCTTATCGGGGACTGACTGGTTAGCGCACTTGATCAAATATGAAAAGTTGCTTAAGGACTTCTTTACTCTGTGTTATGGTAAAAATAGTGGCAGCTGAAGTAAACTTTCAGGAATTTACCGCTGATTGTCCATGCAACATCCTAAAAATATCAATAATTTATATTGATCGTTTGTCTCGCAATATTAAACCTTGGGACAGTTCCCACGGTCACGAGAACATCATAGAAATCAATGTTCTCAAGGAAAATCTTACTGCTTCGCTGAAGGTCCCTTATTTTAAAAGGAGAACCTTTGATTTCTCTCATCCTCTGACAGAAAGCGGATCCGTCTAAATCACCGGAAAGCCGGCAGAGACACATTGAACAAAAGTACATAGAGCATATGTAGGCATGTAATACTCGATCGCAGACAAAATTTACCATGTGATTTGAGTTTTTTAAGTATTAATAGAATCCTAGATAAAGATCGCGTCGTTTGGACCGTCTACGTGTGGTATTCATTTTTGCTTATCTACGATTGGTTGATCTCTATTTTATTATGATGAGTAGTCGCTTGAAGAATTTTTTCTGTTATGATATCGTCATACTTGTTAGGTTCGTGTGTTGAAGAGTTGTTCTATCCTCAATAACGTGGCACAAATCGCTCCCTCACTTGTCGCACCTAGACTTCTGAACTTCATATGTTTGGATCATTTACCGTCTAATTTTTGCGGTGTTCCGTTTTCTCCAACATTGCACAAAAGCCGTATTTTTCCGGATATTCGACGTGGCTCATAAAAGAGAAGTACTTGTCATCAAAGCTTTGATCTGTGTTCAAGGAAAGTCTTTTCAAGATCAACAATCAATACAAGTTTATAGCAAATACAACACAAGCCGACGGATTCATCTCAGCTTATGAGGAGTAAGTAGAGGATATGTAACACCCATATTTTTTGAATCGCTAACTTTTAATCACACTGTAAACGAAAATACTTGCCACTAATTAGTTAGATAAAATCACAGTCAATCGATAATGCTACGGCAATTGTTCAACAATTATATTGTGCTGTACGCAATTTAACCTTTGTGTTTAGTTTAAGTTTTTTTTTTTTCAAGTTATTTAAAAAAATAGCGAATTTATGTCGTGTGATGGTTTTGCTCCCTGTTCCATAACATTCAAGCTAACAAATGCGTCAGGTTTTCCGCACTTTCAATGATTAACAAGTGTGTTCTAATTAGTAAAAAAAGTTCAAGCTGCACTAATGCCATTGACAGTCCTTTTGCTCAATACCAACAAAGCCCTCACTTCAAGCTCCGGTCATCGAAATTCCTCAAAAGACAACAAATGAATACAATTATTACCTCTTGCCTGATTTCTTGATTCCTCTCAAACGATGAGCGATAATTAACAGCCAAGCTTGATATTTGAAGTATGCCTTGTTCTAAAAATAACGTACAGCTTTTTTCCATCTTAACCCTATTTTGTTTCAAAGACTATTTCTTGATACTCTTGTCGTTTTTGAAACATTTGTTTCCCTAGCAAAATACGAACCTAAGCAGAGCCTAAGATCCACTGTTACCATGTATTTTATCCCTTTACGGTACTCTGAATGTTTCAAAAGAACTTATAACTAGTGGTATTTTTTGAAGCGTCCTAGTGAGATTTAAATTTCTTAAACGCTTTAAACAAAATTTAACGCGAACACAGTTCGAGTATTGAGTTTGTCCAATACATAATTCTTTGGCCGTCGGACGTGCAGGCTCTTCATGGGTATGGCGTCAGGAACAACTAATGAGAAGCAAATCACCGATGTGTAATTGCATTTAGCTCCGATTACTTAGCAGTCGTTCTAATTACTAAGTGATTATGCTTTAAGGCGGTAAAGCCTACATAATCTCACGCGTACTTCAATCGGATTACGAAAGCAGTCACTTACCGCCTGGGAAACCTCTGATATTGTACAGTACTAAACTACTTAGCTAACAGTTATGTTAAGCTAATAGAAAGACGCACTTTCAAGTGGGTCCTTTTCAAGTGCTTACGATTATGTGGCGTCAGAAAATTCCAGAAAGAGGCACGATTTACCCCCATGTTTTTTTACAAACTTTCATTCCAAGCCTCTGACGTACAACTTATTTATATCACCCATACGAGTTTTCTACGTTAGCGCTTCTCAATTGCAACCAGACCAGTCAATTCTGGGAGGGCTGAACGGGTATAGGCCTTAATACAAGTTACAATTCTTAGAATAGTTAGCTTATTGTGGGCCAAATGTAATGTTTTTGTAGAATTCTGTCGTAAGTACCGCAAATATGCGATGCAGGCGAAAGTTTTCAAAGAAATTCTCTTTGTGCTTTCCTAGCTCTGTTTAAAATATCACTTAGTTTCTGCCCGCTTGCAAGCAAAATTCTTACCTTTGATTGGATAGTTCATAGACGAAACTAGACGAGGTACACGTGATGGAGTATGCCCCGGACGTGAAGAAGTTCTTGTCCTCTTTGCCATGAGAAATGAAAGTGGGTTGTCGGTTTTATATTTCGAGATATCATAGACGATAAGGACGAGGTTAAATTATTTTTCAACAAACCGCGGCCAAAAATTTCTTTTTTCGTGTCTACTCTATTTGTGGAGTTGACGTTTATCCAAAATGTTTGAACGAGCAAAAGTTTAGTTCCGTGTTCATTATATTTGCTATTCGGTGTTTGTGTTCGTAGCATTTTTTCCCAAAGTCTTATTCTCTTTAAAAATGATTCTCTTTGACAATAAAATGGCTCAAAATAGTGTTGGCGTTTAACCTTGTTGATAGGCTGCTCACATCAGTAGAGAGGATACTATGTGTAACTATGTTACCTCTCATGAATAAAGAGGGGCAAGTTTCTAAAGAAGCCATGGTGCTTCGTCGGTAGGGAGTATCGCAAGATAACTTGGTTTTATCAACAGATTTGAGAGTGAAAATTGGCCCGCCGTCGTAAAGAGTTTCTCATTTACGCGTTAGTCCTTCTTTAGAGCGAATGTTACTGCTCAGTTAAGCGGAATACAACAGAGTATAGTTGTTTCGGTCGAAACACGTTTCTGATGATGAATTAAGTATGTTATTTTAGTATTCCATTTGCACGTAGAATGTTTTAAGGTCCCTCGAACTGAGACATCCTTTTCAATCCTCTAAATGCTGTGAAGGGAAAAGGTACTATTGAGGGAAAAATATCGCACTTACACATAACTCAGGTTTGTACGTATTCTGTCGCGGTAGCTCAAAAATCAAAGACCGCAATGATTTTTTTTTATTTGACGAACGATTTCAAAACGTATATTTGAAACGTTTATTTGTGGAAACTATGATTAAAGTCACTAATTTTAATCAATCCCTTCAGGACTGAGACAAAAACATTTTAAGTTGGATATTAAATGGTTTTCAGTCCTTATCGAATGCTCAAAAAAAGTCGGGCTTTCTTGCATTAATTCAGACCTCGAGCGCACAAGGTCGAACATGGTTTTCGCAATGCATAGGCGCCCTTTCGAGAATTGAGCGGAACAAGTCTCACGTGGGCTACAAAGCTGGGTAGGTACTTTCACATTGTCGTACAATTCTTTGTGAGATTAATCTCTTGAAGAAAGGAATCGTGCTGACAGTATTGTAACAATCTTCTGAAGAACGTGGCCGGGTCCAAAGTTTCTTCGGCACGTGAAATAAGCGAGTTCAGCAAATTGTGCATTTGTGAAAGACAGCAGGGTATTCCCTTTTTTGAAAACAGCATAGATGTAAAACGCGATGACTTGGCATGCTGCTTGAGTTTCAGGGATGTCTTGTTGCTCGCAACGTTTCTTTTGCCACTGCGATTAAAGCGCCACTTTGCGTTTTATTGCGCTTGACTGATCTGCTTGTAAGTTATAATCGACGCGTTTTGTTAGCCAACTCACACTTTTAGAGGAACTAACCTTTTATCGTTACGATTCCTTTCAGATTCATTGTTACAAAAAAGGGAGAATAAACAAAGTCCACCTACTCCGAAAACAACGTACCCTGAGGTGAGCGCTAAATTTGGTAATTTTACTTTCTATTCTTTGTGATATAGGTCAGATATATTTAAGCAAATTTGCTGTTCTTTGTCGATCTTTGGAGTTACGAGTAAGGTCTCCCACGTGCCCTGTCGATTGCTTTCGTTAGACCTTCCCACTAGGAGAAAACTATGTTGAAGGTGGATTTTTGTCAAAACGACAATGTCTTAAATTCTTTCCTCGAGAGATGGAGCCTCAAACGGGAAGCCTTTTTGGGTAAACGTTGGCGACTGAACCTTGTTTGGTGACTGGAATTTAAAACACGACTGTCATATCCAAGACATTGTGCGAAACGATTACAGCTAATTATGAATCGTTTTGTTATGATAATTTGTCAAAACTGAAAAATTTTTAACTTTGTCGTCCTTTTATTTAAGACAGTGGGTCGGTGCGTGAGTGAAATGTCAGGCTCTACATTAATTTTAAGCGGATGGCACATTGAAATACCGAAGCTCGTATCATTTGAAATCATTTAGCATTGAACTCCGTGCGAGAAACATTGAATTAGGTGAGCGCATGCACTTCACGATTGGAATATTTTGTCTTTAAGTGTTTATGTTTAGTGAACCAGTCTACTCATAAATATAGACATGTTGATTTTAGGCCATATGGAGTTTTATTTTTCTTTCGAGGCTTGGTGAGCAAAGACATTACCTCAGCTATAACAATGTGCCTTTCGCCATGCACTTCATTGCAGGGCAGATCTTAGCCAGGAGGATAAAGATCTTTAAATTGCGGCAATGGATCTGTCCCTTACTTTCCTGCTTGTAGCAGTACTCGGGACAACGTATGTGTGCAGTATAAACGCTGACCTACTCAAAGGAAGCAACGGAAAACCCGCCAAGTGGTTCTGCCTGACCATTACAGAAACCCAGATGGAAAATGATGAAGGGACTCTATTTCTGAATATTGAAGAAGACAGCAATTCGTTTGAAGAATTTGCTAAAAAAGTCCTTTCGGCCTTCACACCAACCAGAGAGACTTCCTTTTTTAAAAGGAAAGTGCATTCTAGCCAAGCTAGACGGAGAAGGCAGATCTTTGGAAAGGACAACCGAGTGAATATGCGAACTTCTCTCGAGGCTCAGAAGTATCCGTTCTCCACTGCAGTAATGCTTTCTTCCGGTTGCACTGGTACGCTCATTGGGCCTCGGCACGTGCTGACAGCCGCTCATTGTGTTCACGACGGAAAAAGACAGTTAAAAATTGCCAAACGCCTAAAAGTTGGTGAGTGATTAGACTTGTGCCTTCCTTAAGAATTGTGAAACATTTCTGGTGCAAAATTTATTGAGTCTTTATCTACAAGGCCTCATGTCAGGTTCACTATGCAGTACAGTTAGCTGAAGTTAAAAGCTCAATTTGGGTTACCGGAGGTCGACTTTGTCAGAATATTCAAAATTAAAAAATCTATGTTGTCAATTTTGACATGGTTGAGATTTTGTTATCGTATCGTCAATCTAAGGTTTGTGTCTATTTTAACGTGTTTTTTTATTCCTCCGTCTTCTTTACCAGTTCTTGCGCCGTTTTTTTAGTTTGACGCTGTCACATGACTTTAGGTGGGCTGTCAATTTCTTGAAGACAAAACTGAAATCTTGAATTAGAGCGATAAGACAAAGTTGAAAAGTACACTTCCTAATGGTTTGTTAGACGAGTATGGCTCCAGCAAACAAAGACCCCACTTGACGATGTTTGTTATGATTCGTCATTAATAACGCCGAACAGTAACACTAAAATTAATATAAGATTATTGAAATTAGTACTCTGTTATACTGCTAAGTGAGGCGTGCTGTGGGGAAGTAGAACTAGACTAAAATCATTCCGGAAAGTAGACTGAACGTTATCACTTAGACCTTTTGTCATGAGTATTATTCAATCTAAACATCGTTGAGGATTATACACGGCTATGTTCTTGATTGACTTGTTTGTTTTGGTCCTTTGGTGCGTATGCTGTTTGTTAAGTGTTTCTACGGTAATCGATGAAAACCTCAAAGTTTTAAAGCATTTCAACAATGTAGTATTTTCGTGACATTCAGTAGTGCGTGAAATAAAGCTATCCCTCGGTTGCTGGCGTACCATACTTTGAACGAAGCTCTACAACAAGAAACTAAAGACAATTGAGATCAACGTTCGATCAACAAAAGACATGTTTAGAAATTGTCAACTCCGAGGACAAAAGATATCGCTTTAAAACAACTTTATTTGATAAACGGTATTTTCTATTGATCCCGACAGCGATGAGTGCAAATGACTGTTCTTCTTGACATATGTCTAAGAATTTTGACACCCAGGCTGACTCCACTCACGCGAAACTATTTGTTTGACTACCTGCGTTTTATTCTTCTTAATGTAATTTTTTTTCGCACACATTTTTGTTGCTATGTGTACATCACTTAATATGCTTAACTCTTCCACATTTGAAATGATGACAGAATGTCATCGAAACGACATGTTACGCTTTCTTTGCGAATTTGTCGTGAAAAGAATGTTATCTTAACTCAAGTTAAAAACTGTAAGTTCCCAATTTGCCGCAGAATTTCTTCTTCAAAGACTGTTGGGAATTGTTTAGAGTGATGACATACCTTTTAAGAGCAACGCTGTTAATTTAGGCAGTTGCCTTACGCAGACTGGAAAAACGTGATTAAATGATTCCAAAAATTTTGAGGTCATAAACCTGAAAAATAATAAAAAATTAAGTGGAGAAGTGGAATGAAATCTTACATTTGCGTTGTGCCCAAACCATGTCTTTCGTTACAAGCTTTCATTTTCTTTGAGTTCCTGTTTCTGAGAAGTTTCGTCTGAAGCTTCTCGCACTACAGTGACTGCTCTTAGAGCCATTAAGTGCACTTTGTTTTTTCCGCGCAGTAGGTATTCCTCGACATTTTATTTTCCACAAACTAACTGCTTGGGTTACTCATCTAAATTATTAGTATTTTCTTTTAATTCAGATATCGGTAAAAGTTTACGTTACTAATCAAGGACATCAATCCTTTTTGTAAACAAATACAACTATATTTCCAGGTTTGCTGCAACGATCAGGAAAGTTCCACTGGATCCAAGTGAAGAGAAAGTTTATACCTAAGAAATGGAAAAAACAGACCCAAACGAAAGAGAAGCTAAGATACGATTTCGCAGTTTTAAAACTGAAGCGCAAGCACTCAAGAAAACACATGTCCGTGCAGATCAGTAGTCTTCTTCCCGGTTCGAAAATTCAGTTCTCTGGTTTTCACGGTGACAAATGGTACAATTCTTTGTGGTACACATATTGCTCTGTTTACAGAAAAGCGAACGACATGATTCTTAACTTTTGCGATGGAGTTAGAGGTGTCTCCGGCTCTGGAGTTTACGTGAACTCTCCCAGTCGCGATGAGAGTGCAGTAGTTGGAGTGGTTTCGGCAATAGTTCGAGGGAAAGTCAAAGGCAAAGAGTTCAAATTTAATGTTATTAATTCCTTTACCAGCAATAAGGTACGGCAGATCTCTAAGTGGGTCCGCCGCTAAAAGTGTAGAAAATCGATCCAGAGAAGCAATGGAATTGATATCTTTTTTAAAAATTGAATCAGGAAGCGAAAGTTACTTTCAGCAGTCTCAGTATATTGATTTCAACGTTCCTGTCTCAGCGTTAAGTTTATCACACAGACGCATTGCTACACCAGAGAAGCTAAACAAAGTCACACGAATTGCCGAAGATGACGAACAATCACCTTGATCAAGAATGGACTGCATTCAAATTCATTCATTTCACGTGAATATCTGAAGATGACGAACAATTACTTTGATCAAGAATGGGCTGCATTCAAATTCATTCATTTCACGTGAATATCTGAAGATGACGAACAATTACTTTGATCAAGAATGGGCTGCATTCAAATTCATTCATTTCACAACTTTTCATGTCCGTGCGTAGAAGGCTAGATGAACACTATAAATTTGCTTTCGAATATAATTTGCATATTTTACTTTTTATATCGTATTTTTCAGTTTTAATCGCAAAAAAATTTCCCTTACCTTTAGATTTTTACAGTTGCGCTTCAATGAATTAAGTTCTTCATAGGTTTGTCAAAAGGTTGATGTAGATTAAATGAAGGTTACTGTTGCTTTAAGTGTTCCTAACACACTCACATGTTGCGATGGAACTCCTTGTGTTAAACCTGCAGTAACTAATATATCTTTACAGCACTTAAATTGAAAAGATAACAGACGCTTAAAGCCCATCTATCCTTATTTCGCTTTCTGGTGCTTGTATTCAAATGTAATCAGTTAAGATACTTCTTGTAAATTTATCATGCTACGAAACAGGCATTATATGTCAATTGGTAATCCTTAGTAAGGGAAAAATTAATAAACGCAACAGAAAATATACTGGAAAGCTTTCCATTATTTAAACCTGACTGTCACTGATCAAGCATGAGAAAGAAATAACATTTCAGCACACTAAACAAAGATGGTTTTGGTAGTCAAAATCATCAGACATCAGTTGCCAAAGGTACCTTTTTACTTCACAACTATATCCTTTGATTTTCACAGATTTCCTGTGTGAAACTTAATCCCCTTGGCGTGTCCATAATCTAAACGCTTAGCAATGTTTAATCAAACGTTCATGTACAGTCTGCAACTACTTTTTATATCTTCAAGTTATTTGAATCGTTTCATACGATGTCAATAAAGATTACATTGTGGAAAAATTTACTCAGTCAGCGGTATATGACAATTTTATGTTGTTTCACCGAATTACATTTGTGCGTTTACTGCCATTCGATGTTTCATTGGCCTCGATAAACTGAATTGACCGTAAACGATTTCGAATTAATTCCTAATCTTTTTGCATCTGTTCCTGAAATCCGGTGTGTTTCTACGTAAGTTGAATAAATTCGTTGCTCAGTTTATGATTTGTACTTTTTGCTGCAAGTACATCTCAGTGGAGGTCTCAATGTATTAGAAATATAAAGTTCCGAATTGAATACCCCTAATTGCATCAAACTAATGCGAGTTTTAGGAGCGTGGGAACTGTAGAGATCTCGAGTTGTTTAGTACCTCCATCAGTCACGACAAAGGGCTGTTTATATTTCCCTTAACAATTAAAAAAACAGCATTTGTTTTTGGTTAGCTACCTGGAACCAAAAAGCCAAAGGCAAGAATATCTTCTTCGCCCCCTGCATAGAGTGATGGAAGTATAATGATATAAGTGGTTCCTTTTAAGGCTAAAAATAACATTCAGTAGCTCAACTACACTGAACCTTAAATGGAGAGTTCATCTCAAAACAACTGCTATGAAGTTGACTAAACCTAACCATACATGTACCATTAATATAAGGATTTCGATTATTACACGAACCCTGCAAAAGTCAATCCAGGACATTTTCTGTTTTGTATGGTCAAATCCAGCTCGACTCCGTGACGAAATAGCCAAAAGCAACAGCTCTAGATGGCGTTCTGCGGCAATTCGATATTTTTTGTTTTGACTAAACGCGTTTCCAAGTGAACTACTCTTTTTTTTTAGTATGCCAAAACCTGAAAGCGAAAAGAGTTGTCATTCTGTATGTCATCAAGTTATGAATTCCTTCAAGACGTGCTGGAATAAATGCCAGTTCTTTCTTAATTTAATGTTGCAAACCTATTTCGAGACCCTCTTTTCAATGTTAATAAAAAATCGTGCTAAGTCTTTAATAACGAATCAATAGAGAGTAACAAGTCTTCAATATATATTTATATATGGATCGCCCCTTCGAGCGTCAAGTTACAACCTGCAAAAAGTAGCTAAGCAATTAACTTTAACTCAGTCATTCTTGTCCTTAGGAACCACTTCGACTGACATATGACAATATGATTGTTTCAAAAATGAAAACAATTTAAGAAAGTATAAACTTTTACAGTTGTACGTCCTTTCATGAAATACCCATCCACCTCGTTTGGCATTTCAATCTTCCTTGTAGTTGTTACAAACATTCCCTTTAAATGATGCAGAGTCTTGTTACCAAAGAAATTCAAGAAAAGAACTTTACCACGACAGTGGAATTCTAGGTCGTTCGGTGTTTAAGTTTCCTTAAATTGGTGCTCATTTTTCAATAGTGTTACTCCTATAATGACAAGTGAGGCTGAGGTATCTTGTTTTGTTTGAAGGTATTTCGAGAATTTTGATCGAGTTCTTTCTGCCGTTATGAAGACTCGTGGTATACGATTTTATAAGAGCTCCCTTTTACACTTCCCTGCAGGGGAGAAGTCAACAAATTGGAGTATTTCGAGTCGCTATAAATTCTTGTTCTCTTAAATACCTGAATCTTGAAAGAGAGCGTCTCAAAGCAAGAGCCAATTTCTGTGAATGCGTGGTACTCTTGTTTAAAAAGTTTTTCTTTCAAATCGGCACTCTTGATCTCAAAGATATCAAATAACGCTTTTCATTCGACTAATTTATTCTTGTTTTTCTTGTTACCATAATCCCACTAATAGTGTAGCTCTGCTTTCTGCATATAAACACCCACACAACCCACAATTCCTCCTTTCGCTCTGACGAAGGGTTGATGTCTAAACGTCAGCATTGAAACTCTTTATGGGGGCCAATTTACATTATCAACTCATTTGATAAAACCCAGACTACCTTGCTACTCTCACAAACGCAGCACCGCAGTTTTTTTTTAAACTTGCCCTTTTATAGGTATGTTATGGGACAAGTTGATTTCCGGGCAGTAGCATTTTTAAAATTGACAGTTCAGCCCGTTAGTAATGTGGTTGCTATCCTAACATCGATTGTTCCAGCAAACCATTGGAATGCAACGGCAGTAGAGCTCCCTTCCTCTGTAACCGAACAGTCATATTCTTTGCATTTTGTTGCTGCCTCTGGACTGGAAAACCGCTAACAGAGGACATGTTGTTAAGAAGGATGCACTTTCAGTTTATAGAGACTTGCAACGGATTTTTAAAGACTTTTCGCCAAAATATCATTGGAAAATCTTGGCGAGAAGGTATGCTTAAGAATGATAAACTTAAAGGATCGAAAATTAGTGAGTAAATGATCTCAGGATAGAAATATTCCTGCATTTTTTTGCGTGGTACATACGTGGCGCATGTTTCATTCTTTGGTGGGCTTCTTCTCGCAGCACTAGATTGGAAAGTTGTGTGGCATTAATTTTTCGGCTTCAGAATGCAGCGTATGTATGGAAAGTGTTACTGAAGTGGTTTAATTTTGTGTCTAGCTGAAAGAAATTGCTTCAGAAGTCTATTCAAGTTTGTTGTTGCGCTACACTTTTTTCGAGTAATGTTATGGCATTTTAGGTTCATCCTATCTCTCTATATTTTCAAAGACTTATATGATTTATTTTCCTACTGAATTGCTGATGCCTATAAATATTGTTGCACCTGAGTAGCCATTCCAGACTTTTTCCAGTCGTAAAGGTTGTTTCCTAGACAGCATTCAACGTCTAGCAACCAATCGTGCATCATCCGGGATACTGTGAGTGTGCAAGTAAAGGTCGAGAATGAGTGCGTAAGTAACTCACTCACTTTGTTTTGCATTCAATAACAATTTATTTAGTTCTGTCAAACAGTAGTTGCAACATTTGTGAGGCGTTTACGATAAGAAATTGCAGATTTAAAAAATGTTTAGGATTTCTAAGCCTTTTACGGTGGAGATTTGGCAAATGCGAACACTCAAGACAACTACAGATACTGTAAAGAGCGACCAAAAATTTCTACCAGCCTGGTACTTTATTATGTTTCTTCCGAAGCTTTCTTTGCTTATAATAGAGACCGGTCACCCGTTTGTGCTTCGCTAGTGAGATCCAATACACATAACAACAAAGCTGATTGCATTTTAATTTTAATGGGAATAGTTCCTCTCTCCTAAGAGGTAAGTGTTTTCTATTGTTAGAAGGTGCAAACTTGAAGTTTGTAGTTTTATTATGAGAAAAATTATCGCGGTTTCATTTAAACTGTCCTCTGTAGGATTCAGGGTATATTATAGACCCTCGAGCAAGCAAATCTCTACATCTTTGCAAAAATACATCTGCAACACTGAAATAAAATCTGACTATGTCAGAGTTTGCGAGACTACCTTATCATGCTATTAATTTAGGAACTGGTGTAAATGTAAACTGTCAGCCGCCGCTTTGGAGAGAGGACTTCAATTAACAAGGGCTGCTTCTCCATTATAGCCAAATTCAAAGTAAGCATTTAAAAAAATCAACAAGGGATTTTATGGACATATTTTCATTGGGTTAATTTCCTTACCAAAATGATTTAATGAAGTTTCAAACATTTATTTAGATTATTTACAATTATCTGAGGTCGGTTTAAAGTTATATACACGTAATCCCTACATTATCAACCCTTCAATATACATGTTTTAAAACGCTGTCGCCTGTGCTGTGTTATATTAGAGTGTCTCCAACCTTGTTTGCTTTTGTTCAGTCTCATTTTCTTTTGATCGATGGTATTCCACGCAGGTTTGCAAACAAAAACAATATTAACTCTACGTAAATTGGTCGTGAAACCGAGACATGCCCTAGGCATGAATGGTCTATTTCGTATTAACGTTAATTGCCTTTCCATTTAGAAACATCTTAACATACGCCAAACCGTTTAACTCTTAAATATCTCACTTAATATTGGGTAATATCCTAAAAAGATTATCGCATGGTTTTTACTCCGATTTCTCTTAAATGGCTCTTCATGTGACGGCTTTCTATCATCGTATTGAGAAGATGCACTATCGCATAATCTTCTGTTGTTCTCTTTACATTTCATGAAATGTGCAATGGTACGCAGCACAATTTTCTTTGCACTATATTGACACTTATAAACGTATTGTGAGCTAACTGTTACGTTCAAATAGCTGGTTACAAAAATAAATCACAAATATAATGAATGGCCATAAATACGGTAACGTTAACTTTTAAATTAATGTTCACCTTAAACCTGTTGTTGGTAGGATTTTGTAAAAAGTATTCAGGTCTTAGTCCACAGCTCCTCTCGGAAACACATCGAAACTGGAAATACGATTGCTGTCTTAAATTCCATTTGATGACTTATTGCTCAGTCATTGTTTTCAATTAGGTACAATGAAACTTTCTGACTAGTTCCCGTTTTGCATAAACGCAACTCATCCAAAAATAGATAAACGAGACATACTGTCAGTTACATGGTCTGCAGGCGCATTTTCTTGCCACTGGATAACGAATCACTTTCTTTTCCCCTCGACAGGTCACCGTTTTTTCTTCAATGGTATCTTCGATGGGTGCACAGCACCCACAACTTGAAGCAAATCCAGTTCTATGGCTGAAAGGTTTCGCCGACGACAAGCAGCTGCCTCGACAACCAAAAGTTGTAATTTTGAAGCTACAATCGGCCTTCCCCATGTAAAGGTAGCCTTTCGATACTTGACAGTCAAAACGATGTTGTCTGTGGCTTGATTTGCCCGTAGTAGCGACGCGGAATAGTAACGCAACAACCATGACTTGGGTAACGGAAAGCAGCATCTTCAACAACCTGGCGGAATAGAAATAGTTTTGCATTAGAAATGGACGAATCTCTTTAACCTACCGTATGTAGAATCTGAGGCTGACCTGTATCTGAGAGTGAACTAAAAAGCTCCCGAAAGAGCATCGACTTGCAATGAATACTGCCGCACTCCTCGATTTTGGGTGGTACAGGAAAAACAAATAACTGGAGTGGAGGTTTCTAATCATACAGCAAGGTTCTTTTTGAAAATTGTATGCAGGGGAAAGGTCATAATGACGTCAGGCATAGGACAAACCTTGCAATCCACAAACTGAATAATTCTCAAGAACCAAAGTGAGCAGCTTTCAACTTTCATGGAAATAACCTTGCGTAAGTCCGTAGTAATGAAAGCGAACCTGTTTTGTTTACAAGAAGTCTCTAAAACCAAAAAGAGCGCCCCATACGGCTCGAAAATACTCAGGAAAGCCACCTGGAACTTCAGACCTGCTTATAATTTAGTTTACCAACCTACATGAGACGACCCCGAGCGGTGAAAGCTGAATTTTGTTTTAGCAAGCTTCCGTTTTCAGTTCGTGCCTATATAAACGGCAATCAAAGGGCGACACGCTTACTACCTTTGTCGTTCGCCAATTGTTTTCTGATCAGTAATTACTAATACATAATGAGAACAAAGATTCTCTGTTTATAATGGACATCGGCTCCTGAGTGGCAAAGTCTGACATCTGAACTACACTACCATATACGGCCTCGTTTAAATTACTCAATTGAAGTCATAAGTGTTCAGCGTACGACGACGTCAATTCAACGTAGCTTTCGGTTGTGGATGGAAAACATTTAGTTGCGTCTTTCTTTGGAAAGAGAGTAAGTGAATATAGACCACCACTTACAAGGCGCTGTTTATATTAGCTGAGAACGTCGCAAGAAATATCTTACTCCCATCACACTTAGTTCATTTTAATATGACTGGAACTAAGCTAAAGCTCTTATTTCTTTTTGACGCATGCGTATGCTACATTCTGCAAGGCACAAGGTGATCTAAGTTTTCTCAGGGGGTTTTAGGTCTTGAATTGAACTTACAGGGATAGTTACAAACATGCTTTGTGGTAACCTTGGCCCACTCTCAGCCTCTAATAGCCTTCGGGTTTCATAAACGAAAACAATATAGTTGATGCTTTCAATCTCGGAGAGCACTTATTTTGAGACAAGAACAGAGTGGATTTTCTTTCAATATCATGTCATTAGAATTAATTTGTCATTGTGGTTTACAGTGTAATGAAACTGACATGATAATGGATGTTAAACTAGACCCTCAGACACAGCTGGGTGCCTTTTCAAAAGCTTAGCCTGGCATAGAAACTCATTCAAATGAGCCGTTTTGCCAAAATAAAAGAGAAAGGTAAACATCGGGCAAACACTTTGCTGCAAATTCACATCCCAGGTATCTTTTCTAAGAACAGAGCTGATATGGCTGTGTGCCAACGATCACCAACGTTGTCTTAGCAATGTCCGAAGCAATGTTAAGTGGGCTATTTAAGGTATTCTTTGCTATTAACATTTAGAGTTTTTCAAATTAACTAAGAAATTTTTGGTGCGAAGATTGCGAGCTGTAACATGTCCTGACGAGAATTATGTGGCTACGAGTTGTGTAGGATAATTAAAACAGCCCAGACAAATTTCTCAGTGGAGAAATAAACAGGGCGGGAATCTAAAATGATCTTAATTCTTCTTGAATCCGTTTCCTATTAAGACACTGAGTGAACTTGATAAAAATAATAATCAATTAACGTTGTAGTAAAGCAGTGTTGTAGCGTACGTGACCAGAAATCTAAATACAACTCCAACAGCAATAGTGTTCTCATCCAATCTTAAAAATAAGCTACAACAAGGATTTTCTTTTTTTGCAACAGGTGCATCTATACATACCAAAGAGTAATTTGCCAGTATTCAAATAATTGGAATCTTCTACAAGATCTGGAATTATCTTCCTTAACTTGTAAATTCGTGTAACAAGGGAGCTAATGAAGGGCTTGATACGGGTGATTAATCTAGCCGGGCACGTGACGGGCAGAACTGACTTGATCAGTGTTTTGCAAGTACTAACTTACGTAACCTTCTTGCCGAATGAGAGACCTCTCCAATGTTCTTCTTCTTTCTAAACGCTTCTCTCCTCACCATTTCATTTCTTTAAGACGTCTTCTATAGACGTAGTTCATTTCCGCCCCGAACAAATGAGAAAAACGATTGGCTTTTCATGCTTCGATACGGCTGAGACAAGTAAGCTTGACTTTAACTGGTAACTTTTAGAACCACTGGAGCTTCAAGTAACAAGTGTCGTTTTATCTTTTCATTCAGATCCTATAATTGTATTTACTTTTATTTAAATTCCAAATATAATTGTACAATCTCCATGCGACCAAACAATATTAACTGATTGGATTGGCTCGTGCAAACAGCTGTAAGGCAGTGATATTTCTAAGTTTTTCGGTTCCTTTGATTAATTTACCTTTATATTTGCTTTCTCCAAGTTTAACCTTGAAAACTGTGACTAACTTTTGGAAAATTTTCAGAAGGAGTTAAAGGATTTACTCTAGCTGAACTTTAATTGTTTCCCTTGGGACCTCATCCGCTCCCATTCTCCAAGATGCATGACAGCCTTGCAATGTTCGATATAACGGAGACATAGAATAATAACAAAAATCAAGCGGGAAACTCGCCAAACAGACGCAATACTTTCAATCGACACAGAAGTCATATTTCAGCCGATTTTTCTTAGAAGCCTTGTTGTCCCAAAGTCCACAGCATAGATTACAGCTCACTGAAAATCTAAAATCCATTATCTATCTCTTCAAATTTGTATTTCAATGTTTACTCAAGGGGATATATATTTTGTGTAATAATGTGCGATAGGTATATTTAGGCATACGTTTATCGTAAAAACGTGTGCAAGTTTGAATCGACGAAACAGTCCATCCACCGCCAGTGTTATCCAGCTAAAAATGGCGGATTGACCCCGTTACTTCTGGGAATAAAGACCATAGTTTTAACTTATGTAACCTTTCACTGATTAAACACAATAAATATATGAAATTCGTGCACATACGTTGACATACCTTTCACTGATTATCGTTATATACTATCATGGTAACGTTTTTGTGTTGTCCGCAGGCTTGTGAAAACTTGAAACACTGTGTGCTTGACAACAGCCATTTCGACGTAAATAAATGGACAAATTGATGTTTAATGTCGTGATTGAAACTTGCACCAACAACTTAGATTGGTGCCAGACTGTTAACTAAGAAGAACACAGGTAGATATCTGTTTTATCATTCTTCTTTTGAGAATGTTTTTAAGTTTAGTGATGAATAAAGTCTAGCAGTACAATACAATTTATGCACAAATGCCTGCTAAGTTAGCCGATGGAGGGGAATACTGCAATGAAGCTTATCGTTTAGTAGCATCTACGATGCCCAAGATGGACAAAAACTTTTTTTTTGATCTGGCGATCGCAATGATGTGCCCTATTTTTCTTCAGACTTTCACACTCCTTAACGGCACCGGGTCACTTTTTAGAAGTAAGCTTGGTAAAAAATGATAAATTCAATTTTTCTGAGTCTGTTAATATTTTTAGGCAATCAAAGCGACCTTTAAATCTACCTAGTGTGGTTTCCTTTGGCGTTAGCTGTTTCAGGACAATCATATTTTCAGAAACACTTTAGCAAAGAAAACTTACGAGAAAATCCACTTCTTCATGAAATTGACATCCTCTTACAACCTGTGCTAGTTTTGTTAATGATGCAGAATAAGACCGCAATAAACTGGGTACTAGTCAGAGGTATAAGAATAGGAAGGATATGTTTTGTTTTGAAAGCCGTTCGTATCTTTGAAACGTTTGAAGGTGGACTTTTCTGAAATAACTTTAGACGACCACTAAGTTTTCTCACAATTCACAGACATTTAGAGGTGATTCAGAACAAATTTTACTCCCGGTGGCACAATGACGTGGAGTCTTAGAGATGCCTAATATCTTCGACCGATCATATTCGTTACATCGATACATCATATAATGTGAATGATTTTTTGAATACTCTCTTCTCTCGTTTCGATCTAAAACAAGACATATCTTGTCATTACACTGTTAATCTTCCTGAAAATTCCAATACATTCGTGCATTTTCCAGGGTTTTTTTTTTTTTTTTTTTTGGGGGGGGGGGATTTAAGTAAAGTTTTTAGGCGGATGATTATAAAAAAAATCCTCTCCAGAAGGATTAGGAAAATTGAGCAGCATACAAATATTTCGAATGATTTAGTAATGCTCGGATATTAAACACTGCGCTTTTTCTCCTATAAATTCCTGAAAAAGTACGAGGAAGTTCAAAATGTGTGAGAAAATTTCAATTTTTTTTAAGTTGTCCAACTCGAAAATCGAACAATTTGAAAGGAGCTTTATTCGCATTTCCCCTTTCAAGCTGATTTTGACCGGAGACATCTGCGGAGAAACTGTTATGCAATCATGCCCAGCCCATAATAATACTGGGATGCTTCAGCTTAATTGATGTTTTAGTATTTTTATTTGGCGACAAAGATTTGAAGACAACTGTAGCGTAAAAGCTCCTGCATAAACACTTTTGTTTCTTCGAGTGGCAAATTACTCGCAGTGAATGCTCTCTATACTTGTGCAGGGGTCAGAATAAATAATAGTGAGGACATAAAAGTTGTGAAAAAGCCCCCAAAAAAAGGCATTTGAGAATGACGTTTGTTAATATCTCTTATACACGCATATTAACTTCAAATGATACCATGTGTCGCGGTGGTGAATAAGCAATTATTTGCTTTACCTGAGAGAGATTACAGGAAAGAGTTCTGCCGAGAAACCAGGCCGGGTATTGTTACAGTCAGAATAGGGAATTAAGCTTTAAATCCACTATACCCCAATATCTTTAACATCAGTGTACAATAATTCTGAGCTGGAATTGTGGATCATAAAACGGAAGCAGCTAAATCCCCAATTCATCACACTCAAATACTTCGAATTCAATTTTTCTATACCGTTCTCAGTTTTTTTTGTTTTTGTTTTTTTTTTTTGAATTGTGACATCGATAGAGTTGCATACTTCAAATACCTATTTCACCTCAGGGATCTATTATGCTGAAACACAAGCCGTCACGTACTATTAATTCACCCAGACTTCCTTCAATATCTTTCAATTACTACTCTCACCTGTAAAACTTTTTAACTATTCTTCCGGATAAAAGCGAAAAAAAAATCTTAATAACCTATCTGTTGTTTTCTTGGTGATAAAAATTGAAGCATCAATATCACTTGTGCCGACGAAATCTTAGCCAATACATCACGAGTTTTGCATGGTGCAAATATGTCTCTTGGCAAAACGCTCTCTGGTAAATATATGTCCGTTGTATCACTATTTTTCCAAGCTAAACGAAAAACTAGATAACAGTGGAAAAAGCAAGATAACAGTAAAAATATTAGCAGCCAACATGATTATGACTTTGCGTGACTTTGATACCAACTTTTCATTCTATCTGACCTCGAGCAAGGATGAAATCACATCAAATACCTCGAAATACCGCTATGTAATTAACGACTCGACCCCATGTGTGTGATCTATCATGCAAATTTCAAGTCGCGTTTGGTGTCGTAGGTCATGCATTAAAGTAGAGTGTGATCGAATCCGTGTCGAATCATGGAAAAAAATAGTTTACTTCTTGTCCGAATTGCAGTTTGAAACCATACACAAATTGTATCCCCAAAAGTGTTCGTGTGGATGCTTTTTTCAGTATTTTTTTTTTATTTGAAATGTAAGTATTTGTGTAATTTTCTAAAAATTTGTTTATCAAAAGAGTGAAAAGGAGAAACTTGTAATAAAAAATAGACTTGCACGTGGCTTCGACAGAACGTCGATTCCTCAGCTATAGTGACCCCTCCGTGATACCATCAGTTGCACCACTGATGATGATTAAAAATACTGCTCATTTTATATATGGATTTGCAGCTGAAGAAACAGCTACAATACCGAAAGTCACAAGTCAAACATGCATACGTTTTCTATTTCTTCATTGCTGGCAAAGTCAACAAATATCTCTAATTTTATGGTCATATTTTTTTCCTTGAATGTATGAATGATTCATACCATGCGAGAGCTATACTTTTGCTTTTCGTTGACGAGACAGAACGCTGCGATGAAACATAACTGCTTTCTTGTACTGTGGTGGATAGTTACACAATTAGCTCCAAACAGGCCTTCTGACTACCTTGTATTATTGAAAACTTTGCAGAAACACTTACCAAAACGCGTCGCTTGCAACAAAGTGTTAGACTAACTTCTTGGCTCGGTTAGAAAAATGGGGCACCTTGCACTTTTCGAGAATCTTCAGTATTTTCTGGCCAGACGTCTTTTGATTAAGCTGCGACTGTTCCCATTCTCGAGGTGTCATTTAAGGTCTAGAAGCCAAGACAGAACAATAAGAGTCTAAATTGCATGACAGGGCTCGCAGGCCATTATGATTCAAGAATGTTCTCAAGTACCTGTGAGGCCTTATTCTAAAAAATATCCATTAACTAGGTTCCGAAATGTAATAAACTCATTTAATGAGATGAGTCAAATTTGCTCCTTCTAGATGTGACTTTTAATACAGTCAAACGAATGTGACACATCAATTTCGTTTATTTTCTGCCAAGTAATTAATTGAACAGTTTTTAAACTGTCGAACGTAATGTATGCTTTTTCTTAAATTATTACCTTGTGGTTTACCGAAAGAAGGAAATAGAAACAAGATAATTCTAGACTGTTAATAACTGTTTTTTTTTTCTCGTTGTGTAGATATGCAAATTGAAGCACTTTCTGATTGTATCTAAGACTTAGGTCTCAGAGAACTAAGTTGTGCATTAGGAGCACATACTGCATTCTGACGATAACTCACGAGGCATTGCATTACCCATACCAAACAAATGATCATGTAAAATTTCATCTAAACTAAACTCACTATCATTTCATTATGTAAATTGTATGTATCTCGGGCAAAAATTGCATTTTTTGTTTCTGCTTCTAAACTTCCACCGCTCAAAAGACTCTTTGTAATCCCAAAAGGAAAACTTCTATCAATTTTTTCCATGTGTATGAATAATGAAACCAATGTTTTCCATATATTACGTCAAACGCAGTAAAGACAGTAGAGTACAGCGAAAAGGTAATAACTGTTCCAAAATTATTACAATTTTCATCCTTTTTCTCTTCTCGAGAAAACTATGCACTTCAACAGCAGACAAGTCGCATGACGAAAGTCACAATATATTACTCGTTTTCTCGATACGCAATCGCCAGCAGAAGCTGACATACCATAACTCAACGTTCATCTTGCCTTCTTCCTTTAAATCTTTATACCCACCTTAAATTTTATCCTAATTCCTAACAAACGAACGCCCCTACAGGTGGTGTGACTTCTGCTCACCTATTGTATGCACTTTCGAGACGATTGATAAATTCCTTGACGATGTCATTTAAGTAAAGCCCCTGACGTAAGACTAAATAAAGATCACTTTTGACAAACTTCCCTCGAACGGTTATACATCCGGAATAAATAAAACATTATTTTGATGACAACTATAAGTGGTTTTATCAATGTTTGAAAGCAGCTGAAATGAACGAGATGATTTACAGCAATCAGCTTTGCACGAATGCAGTTATTTCTTCTCACAACGTCTTTTGTTTGCTCATTAAGATGTGCTCGAAGAAAGTTCGAGAACACTTTGAATATAAATAGTTCATCTTTAAATATCTCTCGTGTCTGGCGAATTAAATCACTCATCCACATACGAAGCTAGGATTCTATGTTTTCCCGTTGTTAAACATTCAGCGCTTTCGAAGTTGTAACACGTTCGCTCATTAACTAATTTCGTTATTTCAGTTCCTTTACAAAAACTCTGTCACTATCTCTTACAACTTTTTTTCTTTGACTCCCTACGAGAAACGCAACATCGCTGAACTGTGCTTTACGCTTTCACTTGCAGCCTCCTTGTCTCCAAGTCCAAGAAGTACGTTTTGGAGGAAACAGACTGCTCTTTGAAGGTAGTCGAAGGGATGAATTCACCATTCAAAATGAAAAACATTTCGTCTCCTACAATTGACCCAATCATACCTAACATTATTGCATTACAACAAACACAATTTACAGACAAACTTACCCCCAGGTTGCACTTTGTTTCTCTATGGCACAGTCCCAATGATTAAGTTTCAAGATGGCATAATTGCTAACCACTTAAGACCGATATAGGGGTGAAAGAGATGGTAACCTAATGTCCACGCCGAGGTTGTATAATTTTTCTTACTTTCCGCTTGCTTTTCCATGATCTTACTTGTATCACTGATGTCTTATATTCGCCAAAAACGTGGTCCTAATTCGCGTCATATATTATTTTAAAATGCAATTAAAATAGTATCATTCTTCGCATTGGTAAACACTTAAAACAATTGGGTATTAAACTAAAGTGTTCCAATACTTCAATAAGAGATGATCATTTCTTTTGTTTGCGGTCATATTCTCGCAGGCTTTTGCCGCGCTAGAATAGGATCAAGGAATGCCACATGTACGCAAACGGCCCTTACCCTGCATTGTAACAGAATTTCTGGCCAGTTATGGATGGCAGCGCAGATGAAATACTAATACTGCTTTCATAATACTATTTTGCGTGCGTCGTCGTTTTACACTAATGACACTTGAGAGAATGACGGTGGTTCTGCCCAACAGCGAGAGAAAAGCTTCATGTACTCATGGGGCTTAAACGCACGCGATATACCCACAATAACTCACTTTGAGTGGATATCGTTAATTCTCAGCATTGGTATATCAATATTTTACCCACAACTATACTTAAAGGAAGAGCGAAAGTATGCACAAATGCACGATTAGGTATTACAATGCGCTTATTTTCGATAATTGAAGGGGAAAATGTTTAGGTGGTTGCAGTGGCCCGATCTTTGGAACAAATTTGGCCTTCTTATTCAAAACTGTTTGAGTAAACGATCGGAAGAAGGTGACCGAAAATGTCACGAAACAAAAATCGAAAGGCCCTTCACTTATTGTGCATGTGAAAGCACTTCTTGGCCCTTCCGTCTGTCCAGCTACAATCATAATTATAGCGCATAAACTAGAGTATTAGGTTTTTCCGTTGTAAGTGCGGTACCTTGATGTTGCTATAGTCAGCAAAGCAAGGACTACCATTACCAACTTAGTCGAGGTAAATTCGAGGTGGTTAGGCAAAATAAGTAGTAATGTTTAGTGATGAACATCGCCAATGGTTTTGAGATAATAGTTGCGTCATTTCACCCACACAACATTTTTCCTAATCCGTCCTTGAATAATGTGACAGAAAAGTGGTGTTCAATCTCAAGTGCTCCATGCAGGATGGTTGCCGAGATTTTCGAACTGCAATTGCGTTTTTCAGGACTTTTCCCAGCTTATAGTTAAAAAATGTCTGTATCTCTGCGGTCACTTACAAAGTATCAGAGAAATCATGAGCACGCTCCAAACTCCCATGCACATTCTTGTAAAGCAGATATGATGCAATTGAAATTTTGAGAAGATACCTGTCTAAGATGATCCTGTTCATATTCTATCTTTTTTATTCTCCCAAAGAGAGAGTTAAGTAGCTTCGACCTCTTTCCAGCCAGAGCCTGAGACCAGCTGTTTTTTTACAGATTCACTAAACGGAAAAGGCGAATAAAGACGAAATGATGACATCAAATGCGTCATAACTCACCTTTCTTTTACATTTCTACTTATAACTAGATGTTAACTATCTCATGATACAGTCTGTATTGGCAAGTGGGTAGTTTTCGTTGTAGCTTCATTTCTTTGACATATTTTGACGAATATATTATTATAACTGGCACTTTTGTTGCATGAGGAAATCTTGTTTCCCAAAAGACTATAGGCATATAAGCATATAAGCATTGGAACTGACCTGTCTTTGTTGACAATACGTATCCAATATACGTTCTTCGTTTTCTTATGATAGCCTGCTTGATGTTTGATCTCTCTGAACCATTTTGATATAGTACTTTAAGATTTGCTTGAGCAGTTAAATCTTTTGACAGGTTCAATTTGCACTTTTGTTATGATCAACTAAACATGCCTCCTGTGGACATCTTTTTTAATTTCACGAGACATACTTTAGTAAGCAACATTGCAGCTGCTAACGTAAGGTTGACGACGAATTGCTAAATATGAGCTTTTGCTGGAATTTTAATGTTTAAATTGTGGATCGTTGAAATGATTAAGACAATTGGATTCGCTTTTGCCTTGATTTACATGAATGTGTCACATCAATGGAGAAGCAAGCTTTAAATACTTATTTTATCGCAAATTTATATGGCACTGGAACACCAAGTGCTATATTATTTACGTTTCCCTGGGATCCTACAATCTCTTTCAATTAATACAATTCTAACCTATAAAATTTTAACTAGTCCTTTGAGAGGCAACCTTTCAGTTGTTTTCAAGCCTACAACATTCAATCCTCAGTATCAGTTTTGGCAAAGGGATCTCAAACAACGTGGCTTGAGATCCCTTTATATGGTCGAATATAGGTTTATGAGGTACCGCATTTTCTCCGTTCAAGGCCCCCGGCGTTTATTTCAAAATTTTCCCGGTGAATCCAACGATGGCATTCCGCCAGAGGTCATAAAAGCAGGCAAAGAGACCAGTCTTCTCGAACATCTCCACGAACTTCTGCTACAATGCTGGGAGGAAGGAAGTGTGCCTCAGGACATGCGTGACGCCAACATCATCACGCTCTACAAAAACAAAGGTGATCGCAGCGATTGCAATAACTATCGCGGAATATCCCTCCTCAGCATCGTCGGCAAGACCTTTGCCCGCGTCGTGTTGAACAGACTGCAGTCACTGGCAGAGCGTGTGTACCCAGAATCACAGTGCGGATTTCGAGCCGAAAGGTCCACGATCGACATGATCTTCTCTTTGAGGCAGCTACAAGAGAAATGCCGTGAGCAGAGACGCCCCCTGTACATCGCTTTCATAGACCTGACCAAAGCGTTCGACCTGGTCAGCAGATCAGGTTTGTTCACACTCCTGCAAAGGATTGGATGCCCCCCCAAGCTCCTGAGGTTGATCACCTCCTTCCACAAGGAAATGAAAGGTACTGTCCAGTACGATGGCTCCTCCTCGGACCCCTTCCCCATCAAGAGCGGCGTCAAACAAGGGTGTGTCCTTGCGCCGACACTTTTTGGCATCCTGTTCTCCCTGCTGCTGCGCTACGCCTTCAGCCAATCCGAAGAGGGCATCTACCTGCACACCAGGAGCGACGGTAGCCTGTTCAACCTGGCACGCCTCCGAGCCAAGACAAAGGTGCGCAAAGTCCTCATCCGGGAGATGCTCTTCGCTGATGATGCCGCCATCACAGCTCACACCGAAACTGCCCTCCAGGAGCTCATCAACTGCTTTGCCCATGCCTGTTCACAGTTTGGCCTCACAATCAGCATAAAAAAGACCAACATCCTGGGCCAAGACGTCAGCACTGCTCCCAGCATCTCCATAGGTGACTGTACCCTTGATGTGGTGGAGGACTTTACCTATCTTGGGTCCACCATCTCCAGCAACCTCAGCCTGGACACCGAGCTGAACAGGAGGATCGGCAAGGCCTCAACAGCTATGGCCCGCCTGACCAAGAGAGTGTGGGAGAACACTATGCTCACCATCAAGACCAAGACGCAAGTGTACCAGGCGTGTGTGCTGTGCACACTGCTGTACGGCAGCGAGAGTTGGACTCCCTACACCCGGCAAGAACGCAGGCTCAATGCTTTCCACCTGCGTTGCCTCAGGAGAATCCTCGGTATCACCTGGCAGGATCGCATCCCAAACACCGAAGTCCTAGCAAGGGCAGGAACTGTGAGCATGTACGCCCTGCTAACCAAGAGACGCCTGCGATGGCTCGGTCATGTCACCCGCATGCAAGATGGCAGGCTACCGAAAGACATTCTGTACGGTGAGCTTGCCACTGGGTCCAGACCCACTGGACGACCTTCGCTCCGCTACAAGGATGTGCTCAAGCGTGACCTGAAGGCGGGTGGCATTGCGCCAGCAGGCTTCGAAGCACTGGCAGCGGACCGCAGTGGCTGGCGATCCACCACCATGTCAGCCATCAAGACAGCAGAGCAGAAAAGAGAGGAGCAGTGGGAAGACAAGAGAGCTCGCAGGCGCCAGAGAGCAGAGGCCAACCCATCCCCCTCGGACGACAACGTCTTCGCATGCAGCAACTGCAGCAGGATCTGCCGCTCGAGGATCGGTCTCTACAGCCACAGCCGGCGCTGCAGCTCCACCACAGACTGACCATGGGCGCAACTCCATTGTCTCCCGAGACAGAAGGACGCCAACAA